TCATACAAAATTGTTGACGGGCAGGACCGAACAGTAAGATAAAAGTAGGTATATGAATTAAAAAATGAAATTTCGGCGTTAAATTGCCAGGATATAACTTTTTAAATCGTTCATGATGAACTTCTATCATTGATGATAATACTGGCAGATCGTCAACAGGTATTTCAAAAGCTAAACAAAAATTAGTTATTTGAAGTAAAAGTATGAAATTCATAAGTCTCTCATGCACAGCATNGTCACAGTCATCAATATCATTTACAACCCATTTGTAAAGTAGAAACGGCAAGGAATGAGCCAAGGCTACCATCTGGGAAGCACTTTGTCTCAATCCATTGTATAAATGAGCATCTAAAATGAGTAATGGCTTGTCTTTTTGCAAGTGCTTGAAATCAAATGTGTCAATTTTGGAATTTAAATCAGCAACAGAAAATAAATTTTTATTNATAATACAGTATTGCAAGAAAAGTCTGCATTCAACTTCCATAACACCTTCNAATAAAACATGCATGATATCTTGAGGCAGACATACTGGTAAGTCTAAGCCATCAATATCCAAAAGCGGTGATTTACTTTGATTCACACCAAAATACATTGACCAATATTCTGTTAACCTTTTGGGCAGACCAGGTTCAAGANTTACTTGAAGATGCTCTCTATGANTATTAATATNTCTCAGAATGAAATTACTTTCAGAGAAATTAGTTTGTAGCTGAGTCTTTGTTGTTAGACAAGTGCGGCAAGGTCGGGAAGCAGAAACACTTTCTTTAAAACCACCCATNAGAGCAGATGCTGGAGTATCACCTGCCACAAACANAAGTGAACCTTTGTAATTTTTTACAACATTATTAACAGTGATATCTATCCCTTCAGTTTGAAGCTTTGTAATTTCTTGAACAAATGGCTCTAAAATTTTGTGAATACTAAATCTTTTCATCACTGAAGTTTTTACAACAGCAAAAAGGTTTATGGCTCTCAGAGTTGACCTCATTTCTGGAGGAATGTTAGCCAGAGTCCAGTAAAACATTGAGACATTCTGAGAGGCTGTGTTTGCTCCTAAAGGATTAACAACACCTAAACCATCATAGTACAATATTATGCCAAGAGCATTTGGTACAGAAGAAAAAAATGGATGTTCACGATAATATTTGCNATCTGTAACAGTTTTCAAAACATCTGCACTAACCCTAGGATTATCCACTTTTGCTCTTATTTCATCATTACATAGAAGAGCTTTAAGAGTACTAAGAAGTGGGACTACATATGCATAAAAAGGTTTCAATACAAGATCTCTCGTAGGTTTCCGTTGCCAGACATATGCCTCTCCAATCAACACTTGCTCAGGCATAACCATACCAAATTTGTCAACCAAAAACTTATTTAAAAGATATTTAGTTTCAACTTTAGAAAAAAGAAGAGACGGCGGAACAATCTCAGCAAACACTTCTTCAATATTCTTCAACGATACAAGGTTGTCAGCATCTGCACGTTGTCTGATTTCCGCCTTAATAACAAAAAAATTCAGATAAATGTAACATTAATATAAAAAATAATTCAATTGATCTACTTCATTACATAAGTTTTCAAAAATCATACCATTGCAACATCAATGTAGTCTTCTAATAATCCTTCCACTCCAGAATACAGACCAAAGCAGTATAAGAAGTTCGACAAGTCTCCCTCACATGAACGCAAAACTGAGCAGCATACCATTCTATAACTTCAGACGTGGTACGAGGCCAATTACTAACATAGTTTTCCTCTGAGAAAAATAAAGAAAACTCACTAGAGTAACAAAATATACTTTCAAAATAATTTTATCAATAAAGTATCCAAACATTTACCTAGTGCTGGATTATCGTTGATTTCATGANGTCTTATGTCTTGGGCTTCTGCGTATTCCTCATTTCTATCTATTGCATTCACATTACTTCTGTGAACGCGTTTGACATGTTTCTTGAAAGAAAACCACTTTGTGTATGAAGCTCCGCATCCTCTAATAGAACACATAACCTTGAAGTTCGGATCAAAACGATGTTGACGCACTGTATGATTAAGCAGAATACGTTCTGTGGCAGCTTGGTACGCACATAAACAGCATTTGAATGTTCTGTCACTCATCATAATATATCTGTGATTTCCGATTAAAAAGAAAAGAGAAATATTGAAAACAAATCACAAGGCAAGATCTTTGTTTTGGTGCCAAGCAAAGCGCGATGAAAAATTCAGAGTGAACAAAGTGGTGACCGTAGTAAAATGAGAATGACCATGTACAGCAGATTGAGCAGATCAGTGAGCGCTTAGTGATTCTTCAATATGATTGGTTTCTAGACTTAGATCCAGCTAAGATCTAAAGGCAAGATTCAATCATATTAAAGAATCACTAAGCGATCACTGATCTGCTCAGTTTGCTGAACGTGGCCAATGCTTAAGCAAACTGAGCTGGTCCTGTAATATTTNATGCAAAAAAGTGTATCATCATATCGTGCCGCGTCAGGAGAAGTATTTCTCGGAAATTTCTCCTTNGACTGCCTCTAGTACCGCGCTCCGTTTTCCTTTGATTTCGGGTCGCGGAAACCAAAGGAAAATGGCGCGCATTAATAGATGCAACCGGAAGAGAAACTTCTGAGAAATACTTCCCCTAACGCGGCACGATATAGTGCACTCCTCTGTATAAAAAATTACAAGACCAGCTCAGTTTGCTCAAGAATTCTCATTCTACTACGGTTACCACTTCGTTCACTCTGAATTTTTCATCGCACTTCGGCTCGCTTGGCGCCAAAACAAAGATCTTGCGTGGAGTTATACGATGCGTCCAAATATGGCAGCCGTTGTGAATATATATATATATAACATTCGGTAACTCGCGAAAGATTTTGATTTTTCTATTTCAATATATTTGACTTTAGTTTATTATTATGAGTGCGAAAACAGTGTTCTGTGAAATTGGAGACGGAAGAATCAAGAAAATCAAGTTCTCACAAGAGAGTAGTGCATCGGATCTTCAAAGTCTTCGAAGCCAGTTAGTCAAGGCTTCAGAATCCGACTCAGACTTGAAAGCCAGATTGGATAAATCAAGCTCTTTTGTCTTCCAACAATTTTGTGCCGTGATATCGCGATATGCAGATTTAGAAGATGATGACGAAATCTTAAATAATTCTACTATAAAAGTTTTGTTTTGCAATGCAAAAACCAATATCTTGGAACTTGATAACTTGCCAATGTATGATATTGTTAAGGATAGCCAAGATAATCTTCAACAAGAAATTGAGTCAACAAATTCACTTGACGCA